ACAGGGGGGCTGTGTGCACAGGAGGGCTGTGTGCACGGGGGGCTGTGTGCACAGGAGGGCTGTGTGCACGGGGGCTGTGTGCACAGGAGGGCTGTGTGCATGGGGGGCTGTGAGCAAGAACCGACTTGATGGCACCTGACGACAACAGCAGTGAAACATTACCCATCGGCTGAAATGAGAGTCTGGGAGCTCCTGCTTACAGCGATGGGTGGATGGAGGCATGGACAGACAGATGACTGACTAGAGGGCGAGTGCATGAATGGATGGTTGAGGGTGGATGGGTGCATACATGGATAAATGCATGTACGAGCAGTAGCGGACAGACGGATGATGGATGGATAAGGGAGAAGAGCATTCTCTTTGTCACCAGAAGGCTGACTACATCTAGGAGGAGCAGTGGAGTTAGATCACCACGCTGCAGCCATCTCTGAAAACTGATGCAGGTTGGAATCATTAGTGAATGATAGTTTGATGAGTCACAGGACGTTTGCATCATCTTAACGCAGTTCCCCACAATTGAGTATAAATTATTAAAAGCAACCACCACCATTTACTTGTAAACCATTAAAAGCACCTTCCACAAATTAGTTCTTATGAACGAGAACAGCGATAACTGCTGGGAGGAAACCGTTACCACCTCAGTCATGGCGCTTGCACGTGGGAGCCTGAGGAGGTCACCGCGTCCTCGTGGGCATTCTGGTCCGAGGTGAATCGTTCCCAGGAAGCAGCAGAGGAAGCCAGGTGAGGGCCATCCCATAGAACGAGTGGCCTACGTTCCTAAAGAGCACTGCCTCACTGCCAGCGCAGCACAGTCTGGGTGATTGCATGTTGCTGTGAGGCGGGAAGCTGTGCCCCTGGGATTTAAAAGACCTGCAGGATCACCCATGGTGGGCAGGGTCGGGCCTCCTCCTCTTTCAAATCAGCTGATGAAAAGTCTGTGCGTCACAACAGAACATTTTCCACCCAGAGCTGAAGGGGAGCCACTGGACAGGACCCAAGCCCACCCCACCTGCTCGCATCCAGTTCCGTCATACTCCTAGCCACTCCGTGCGGGGTTTCTGAGACAAAAGCCTTATTGGGACAGCCGGGGATTTGAACTGTCGACCATGGAGCTAGCAGCTCTGCCTGACCCACAGTATCACCAGAGTCCCTTCATTCCTGTGTGCTCCTTTAATCTGGGAAAAAGCTCCTCCACTGACTGCAGCAGTGGGCCCGGCCATAGCGCATGTGAGGACGACCTGTTCAGAGCCCCTGTGTGTTGACCTTGACTCGATGGCTCTCCCACCATGGAGGGTGTGGGAAGCATCACGAGGATGGAGGGACTCTACAGGGGTCACAACCAAAGGGAATTGGCTGAACTTCCGCCGTCTCCTGATCTAAGACCTGATGGCTTTGAAGGACCACGTCCACGCTGCACTGAAGGCATCGGCAACAAAGGGCGCCACAGTTCAAGTGCATCAAGTCAGTTGCTCCATAGACATTTCACTGGATCTAAGATGCAACTGATTTTACCAAGCGTCGTCACAGAAAGAATTCAGTGATGCGAATTAGAATTGGGAGACAGAGTTAATTCTACGATCTGTCTCTTCCAGAGGTGTCAGGAACGTGGGAAGCCATGTCCGAGGAGAGCGGAACCCGGGGGGGACGTGGGTGTTCTCACAGGCAAAGGACTCCGCTCAGTTGCCGCCACCGTGTGATTGTAGTCAGAAAACCAGGTTCTGTGATCCCGGAAAAGTGGCTCATTCCACAATCTGTATCAGAAGTGGTCTTTTCCCGGTTCTTGAGTGCTTTCTGTCTTTTAGTTTCCTGCAAGGGTCATTTTTATGAGTGGTATTTTTAGGCAAGCATTTTCAGGGACTCTTAATTAAAGCCAGAATAACATTTGGAAATAATTTCCCCTGACATTGCTCACTGAAGGGTCTTTCAAGGAATGGGGCCATTGTAGCTAAATAATAAATTCTCAAACTTATTTGACCTACTCCCCCCCCCTTTGCAGGACCCCCCCCCCACAAAACTCAGTGACCCCTAAGCTAATTGTGCCCTATATTTTTGTCCCATTTCCCATGATCCTGGTTAAAGTGTAGGCATCTGCTTTTGCAGGCCCCCCCCCCCCGCTTGTTCCTGTGCCCCTGGGGGGTGGCATCACTCACTCTGGAAACACTGCTCTAATGCTCGGTCTTGGGCGGGTAGATTACTCATGGATCCCTTGGCTGTCCATGAGCTCAGTTTGAGCCTTTTTCTTTTGTTTACAACATCGGTAATTTGTGTCATCTCTCTTATTTTATTTGTTTGCCTGGCTAGAAGTTTTTCAATTTTATTTATTTTTTCCAAGGAACCAACTTTCGGTTACATTGTTTTTCTTTAAGTCCTGCTTTCAATTTCAGAGATTTCTGTTCTAATTTTTACTGTATACTTTAGTTATATATAAACATGTGAATTTACATATAAATAAATATAAACACACATATGGTTTCCTAAGTAGGGAGTTCAGATGATTGGTTCTAGATTTCTCTAGTTTTAATGATTTTTAAAGTCTTAGGTGAAGGTTTGTGTCTCACATTTTCAGTTTCCTAGTACACAAGCTACTTACGGGACCTCCCAATGGCTCACTCTCTCCTGATGTTTGCCTTTGATGCTGTAGCTTTCCCTGTGAGCCTTGCTTCTGCTGTTCCCACAAATTTTGATGCACCACATTTTCATTTCATTTATTTATTTATTATTTTTTTCATTTTATTTTAGTTCAGAATATTTAAAAATCTCAGGAACGTCTTCCTTGACCCACATTTTACTTATCAGTGTGGTAGTTATTCTCCAAACATTCTGAGGTTCACCACCTGTCATTTCTGTTCTTGATCTCTAGTTTCAGTCCACTATCTGTGATTTCGTTTTGAGGGGTGTCTTGGCCCATGGTGTGGGCTCTCTTGATGGCTGTTCCCTGTGAGCCCGAGAAGAGTGTGTATTCTGCTCTTGTGTAATGGAGTGTTCAGCAAATGGCAACTGGCCCATCTGTTGGTGGTGCTGCCCGTTCTGCCCTGTCCTCGCTGCTTCTGCCCGTGGCTCCGGCAGTGACAAATAGGGCGCTGCCGAAGCCTCCTGCCCGCCCCCCTTTGTCCTTCCTCTGTTTGGGCACATGCACGCGCTGCTGTCGTGGACCATGGCGTCTTCTCACTGCACTGGTGCTCGTTTCCCCCACAGATGCTGCAGCTGGAGAAGAAACTGGAGCTGGAACTTCAGGACAATGCCAGAGTCATTGCTTGCCGCTTCCCCTTTCCAAGCTGGACCCCAGACCATGTCACCGGGGAGGGGACAGACACGGTGTGGGTGTACGATGCGAGCACCTTCAGGGGGAGAGCGAGAGGACCTGGGACACTGGTGCCCCCTCCCAAGCGGGTTTCCTGAAGCGCCGGGCTTGTGCGAGGGCCATGTTCTCAGCACACGCCACCCTCCTGGACATGCATGCTAAAGCTGGAGGGCGGCGGAAAGCACTCCCTCCGTGTGGTGTTCCGAGGAGTGTTCTCGCAGCCTCTCTGTGCAGGTAGATGCGTGCAGAGGGAGCAAGTGCAATGTGAGCAGGATGGAAGCGCGCTTCAGATGAGAAGACGGGGGTGTTCAGAGCCATCCAGAGTTACAAAGAGTTGCTGTTTCCCACAGCTGCAAAAGGAAGGAATAAAGTTTAGTCATTCTTACCAACGGTGTCGCGCTCTCTCTTCTGGATGTGTCTCTTTCTTCTCTGTGCTTCATGACAACATTCATTCTGTAGAGGATTGAGAGGCATGGAGGTTTTATGACATTTATTAGGAATCATTTGTTCCAAGGCTTTGGTTTGCCATATTGTATGCAATCTAAGATATTTGTGTGTGTTTACACATTTTAACGTCTGAAGTTTTTTTTTTTTTTAAAGTTTTAGAAGCAGGCTTTATTGAGAAGCAGGCTTTATTGAGAAGCTTGCGGACTGGTTCAGTAACTCAGGTATTGAGCCAGTGAAGCCACTACGTGTGAAGTTTTGGGACACCTCCCAGTTGGTAAGGAGCCCTGGTGATGCAGTGAGTTAAGCACGGAGTTGCTAAGTGAAAGGCTGCTGGTGGGACCCCACCCACTAGTCTGCGTGAGAAAGGTGGAGCCATCAGCTACGTCCATAAAGACGGATCCCGCAGAGCTCTGCCTTGCTCTGCCCGGGGCTTCCGTGAGTTGAAATTGACTGGAGGGCAGTGGGTTTAGTTTTTCAGGTCTTGCAGTTGGACTGGGTTCCCTAGAGAAGCAAACCCAGGAATGCTTCGAGGTGCACGTAGATAGAGACTTGTGTACGCCATCAGAGATTTGTGTACGTAGACAGAGATTTGTGTACGTAGATAGAGATTTGTGTACGTAGACAGAAAGAGCCATCCAGAATGGGCTCACACAGCTGTAGAAGTCGGTCTGTCCACTCCTGGTCAAGTTGGTGGGTCAGATGTAAGCTGATGGTTTCTCTCCACTTGTGTAGCTGCCAGGCTGGACAGGAAGCTGGAGGACAAAGCAGGAAGACCACAGGCTGGAGGGTGCAGAGCTGAAGGAATCCAAGAACGGCCCAATGAATCCAGGGTTGGCAGTGTGCTGATGGCTCACGGGATTGCCGGGAGGTAGAGCAGGAGGTGGATGGACACTGCAGGGTTCAGGTCCAGCAGTAGAAGTGAGCTCACTCCCACACACTCAGTCTGTGCCAAGAGTTGGTTGGCCACCCCCTGGGTGAAACCACCTGTGCTGTCCGGCCCCATGACTGAACGGGCCCGAGGAGCGGCTGTACAATTATGGAAGGAAAGAACGACAGGCGGCGAGGACGGGCTCATCTTTCCTGACGTCAGGATCAGGAGAAAGAACAAATTAAATTTCCAGTGGGTTTATATAGTCTTGGGGCATGCAAGCGCCCACAATCACATACACAGCAATCTTTTTTTCCCTTTTTAACAGAGGGGCCGCAGGGAAGGGATGAGTCACCAGGGTTCAGTAAATCATTGATGGTTTACTGTATACTATATTTTTATATTATACACAATATTCCTCTGGTTCCTTGAGGCTTCCTCACCCCCCACCACCATGACCCCAGTGCGACTTCTCAATTCAGACTAGACCGGAACATGTACACAAGTATAGATAAGAGATGGGAGTTCATGACACACGGCATCCAGGAACAGGAGTGGGAATAGTGATACCAGAAGGGTAGGGAAGAGGGAGAGAGGAAAGGAGAAAGGGGGAACCGATCGCCATGATTGACAGCCATGCACCCCTCTACAGGGGGAGAACAACAGAACACATGGGGAAGGGAGACAGCCGTCGGTGTGAGAGATGAAAATAATAATGTGCAATCGGGGGTTATGAGGGTGGGGGAGGGGGAAGAGCTGATACCAAGGACGTAATAGAAAGTCAATGTCTAGAAAAGAATGAGGGCAACATGTACAAACATGCCTGATTCAACTGATGTAGGGATTGGGAAAAGAGTTATCACAACCCATTCATCCATCCATTGTGTCAGACACATTTGTACATATGTTACTATCATTTTCAAAACATTTTCTTTCTACTTGAACCCTTGGTATTAGCTTCTCATTTTTACCTCTCACTCCCCCCCCCAATGAACCCTTGATAATTTATAAATTAATATTTTTTTCATGTCTTACACTGACCGATGTCTCCCTTCACCCACTTTTCTGTTGTCCATCCCCCTAGGAGGGGGTTATAGGTAGATCACTGTGATCAGTTTCCCTTATTTTTACACCTCCCCCCTTTCCCTTACTCTCCTGGTATGGCTACTCTCAATATTGGTCCTGAGGAGTTTATCTTTCCTGGATTCCCTGTGTTTCCAGCTCTTATCTGTACCCTTGTACATGCTCTTGTCTAGCCAGATTTGTAAGGTAGAATTGGGGTCATGCTAGTGGTGGGGGGAAGGGGGCAGAAGCATTAAAGAACTAGACGAAAGTTGTGTCATCGGTGCTATACTGCACCCTGGCTGGTTCGTCTACTCCCATGACCCCTTCTGTAAGGGGGTGTCCAGTTGCCTACAGATGGGTTTTGGGTCACACAGCAAGGTCTTAACCCTTGGATGTCCCTGAGTTCATTAGGGGTGTAACCCAAGACCAGTACTGGAGGCAGAACATCAGCAGGGGTTGACTGACTTTTGAGCAGGGAAGACAATAGAACTGTTTGCTCTCAGATAGGCAGCCTTTGGCCCCATAGAGAGCAGCCATGTGCTTGTAAGAGGCATCTTTAAAATAGCACCATTATGGGGGTTATTTTTAATCTCCACGAGAGTCGGCCTCCCAGACTCCTTGGTTATGAGGGTTTGGCCGCGCTCATTCCCTTCCAGGTCTCAGTTTCCCACAGCTTCCCTCGATGCAGTCAAGGTTGTGACCGGATCAAGAAGGTCTGTTCGCCCCACAACTGCCTGGCTGTTCTGCGGGAGGCCCCACGGTGGGGTTTACCACCCTGTGCTGGGTCAGCTCGTGGGAGAACCCTGGCCCGGCCAAGTCGTCTGGAGACCCAGCCGTCACGATGGTGTTTCATCGCTGTGGTTGGTGTCGTGCAGCCGTGGAAGCCGTGGTGTTGGCTCTGCCAGGGTTTCCGGTTGGGTGACTACGGTGTTCAGGTGGTTAAGGAATTCAGAGAGGTGTGGGCTAGGGGTGAGGAGGTGGTCGTGATGTAACAGGCCGTGAGCCTGGTGGTGAAGTGGTTACACGCTGGGCTGTAATCTGCATAGTTGGCAGTTCGAAACCAGTTTCAGTCTCAGAACCCCCCGGGGGTCTCAGCGAGTCAGCATAGTGGAGCCGGCAGTGATTTGGGCTCTGGTGTTGAGCTGGGAGTAAGCTGGACCTGCGGGGTCATGTGCAGGTGGCTCGGGCTCGTGACTGAGCTCAGGCCGGCTCCCCGAGGGGTAAAGAGTTCTGATGGCAAAGCTGCGGGTCATACCTGCTGGCTCCTCCTGCACCTTAGGGAAACCAGACCCAACTCACTTCTGACAAGGCGAGGCTGGCTCACGGGCTGGTCACAGGTCGACTGCCTGGCCCAAGGCCAGCAGTTCCAAAGGCCCCGCTGCCTGTGGGAGAAAGGCAGGGCTGAGGAGTCAGCGTCGCAGAGCCTCGCAGGGGCAGTTCTGCCCTGTTCTTTAGGGTCCCTGGGAGACGCTCTGTCTCCTCCCCTGGCACTGGGAAGAGGAGGACAGGGTGCAACTGGCCCTGTGAGTTTTCAAGGCTGAGACGCTTTGAGGGCATCGAGAGCCTCATCTTTCTCCTGCGGGGCAGCTGGTGGTTTCAAACCGCTGTCCTTGTGGTTGGCAGGCCAATGTGTCTTCACTGTGCCCGCACGGCTCCCACTTATTTATTTTATGCCTCATTTGGGAGACGAGACTGACTGGCTTAGAGAAAGTGGAGGACAACCTTCAAATGTGATTTGACGAACTTCCTACTTCCGAGAGTTAATTTTGATAATCCCTTGCTTATCACGGGAAGGAAGCCCCAGCCTTACCTTGTCTGTCGCCTAAACACCAAGTGGCCTCGAGGCTTGGTGGCGTGAGATGGCTCTTGGGCTGAACGTTCACACACAGGACAGCTCTGGCCATTTCCACTGGAGTGGAAGCAACTGGGGCCTCAGTGCTGGCTGCCTGCCTGGGGCGTGGACACCGTGGAGCGGTTCTGCCCAGACGCGACACAGGTCTGCCGTGGGCTGGAGTGGACTCTGAGACACTGGGGGGAAAGTAGCCCGCTCTGTGGGTTCCACAGGGAATGGGCATGCTAGCCTCCCCCTTCCTTCCCTTGAGGAAGGTGTGTTACAGAACAGGAGATGAGCAGGCAGACCCATGGATATGAGCGTGTTAAGGTCTCAGAAAGAAACAGAGAGAGAGAGAGAGAGAGAGAGAGAGAGAGAGAGGAAGTTGCTGTGCGAGCTGGTGGAGGTGCGTGTGGTGTGGTGGGTGGTGGGTGGGGTGGGAGATGGAGGCGTAGGGTGCTGTGGGCATTGGTCAGGGGCTTGGCTGCCCACACTAATCCCTTTCCCAGTAGCCTCTGGTTTCCTGGAGGCAAGTGCCTTCTCCCCAGTGTGCAATCTAGCTGGAGGCAGCTCTTGGAGGGGGCAGTTCTTGGAGGAGGACATCGTGCTAGGAAAAGCAGAGGGTCACTGTCGTCGGTACATCATCTGGTGTCCACGTGAAGTGTAGGGGTCGACTTCAGCCTGACAATCAGATCACAGCCTGATGACGCCTCCTTGTGGGCATGACCTTCTCATAAGGAGGGTCCCGGGGGCCTCCCCTCTCTCCCTCTGCCTTCACCTTCCTGCTGGCAGGCCACTCGGAGACCTGTGGGAGCCCTGGAGATGGGTCCACCCCACCGGATCCACTAGACTTTGCACCCACTGGCCCGTGATCCTCTGCATTCTGCGTCATTGTTTGTGGCTGCAGGAGTCTGAAGAGGGACTTAGGGACTAGTGTCAGACTTACGGACTTGATTTAGAGTGGGCTGGGATGTTTTCTCGATAACCGATTACTCTCTGATATAAAGCTCTTCCTTACACATACACAAGGGTCCCTGGATTTGTGTCTCTGGTCCGCCTGGCCTCACATAGCCGGAAAAAAAGAGAAAGAAAAGAAACGCAAGAAGGAAGAGCCTGAAGGCGATGGACAAGCATCCGTGGTAGTGCCACGAGCGGAACCGGGGTCCCAGAGCTC